ACTACAAGCACTCAATACAAAAACAAATTAAACTGTGTGCTATTCCTCAATGACTCTGATACCAGTACACACACAAGCTCCTAAAATTGCAAGGTGGCCCCAATTTAAGATAAGTTACAACCTGGAATGAAGTCAAACATGAATTTATGAAAATAATATTGCTTTAGTTAAAATATAAGATGTTGCAGAAGAGATTCATTATTCTTATCTCTTCCCAAAAATGAGTAAAATATGTATTAGCTTCACCTTGTTAGTTCCAGGAGGAATAATTACCACATTCCACAGAGATCCATTTGAAAATCTTTAGCAGAATTTCTGCTAGCATTGTTAATACCATGCCAGCAAATACATCTTTTGCCTTAAGAAGGCCTGGGAGCTAGATGATTTGCAAGCTAGAAGGACTCTCCATGAAAACTCATTAGCACGGCACACAAAACCCTATGGGACCTCAGCTTCCAATCCCAACCCCGGTCCCCTGAATCCTCCTTGTCCTGTAACTTTGCAAATCTCTCACCTGGTCATGCTATTTCATGCTGTTCCCCCTTTGCCTGTTCAACTTCTTTTCCCTAGAAGCCTCTCCCTCGGATAAATTTATGGGGAGTTGTTAAAAATGCTTCAAACCTCAGTTCAAGATACTTCTCCTCTGATACCTAAATTCCATGTCCCAAAAAGACCCCACTGAAAAAGAGAACTACAGGCCAAAAGAGAACTGATGAACTTAGACACAAAAATTCTCAACAAAATACTAGCAAATCAAATCCAACAGTACATTAAAAGAATCATCCACCATGATCAAGTGGGATTTATTCCTGGGCTGCAAGGGTGCTCCAATATTCACAAATCAATCAACATGATACATCACATTAATAAAAGAAAGGATAAGAACTATGTGATCCTATCAATAGATACAGAAAAAGCATTTGACCAAGTACAACATCCATTCTTGATAAAAAGCCTCAACAAGATAGGGATAAAGGAAACATATCTCAAAATCATAAAGCCATATACAAAAAACCCACAGCTAATATCATCCTCAATGGGGAAAAACTGAGAGCCTTTCCCCTACCCTCAGGGACAAGACAAGGATGTCCACTCTCACCATTACTATTAACATAGTACTGGAAGTCTTAGCCTCCACAATCATACAACAAAAGGAAATACAAGGCATCCAAATCAGCAAGGGGGAAGTCAAACTTTCACTATTTGCAGACAATATGATATTCTATATGGAAAACCCAAAAGACTCCACCAAAAAATTGCTAGAACTGACACACGAATTCAGTAAAGTCACAGGATATAAAATCAACATACAGAAATCTGTTGCATTCCTATACACCAATAGTGAAGCAGCAGAAAGGGAAATCAAGGATTCGACACCATTTATGGTTGCACCACAAACAAGATACCTAGGAGTAAACCTAACCAAAGAGGTAGAAGATCTGTACTTGGAAAACTATAAAACACTTATGAAAGAAACTGAAGAGAACACAAAGAAGTGGAAACACATGCTCATGGATTAGAAGAGCAAACATTGTTAAAATATCTATACCACCCAAAGCAATCTACACATTTAATGCAATTCCTATCAAAATACCACCAGCATTTTCTGCAGAACTACAACAAACAATCCCAAAATTTGTATGGAACCACAAAAGACCCCGAAAAGCCAGAGCAATCCTGAAAAAGAAAAGAAAAGCTAGAGGCATCACGATTTCAGACTTCAAGTGATATCACAAAGCTGTAGTCATCAAGACAGTATGGCACCATCACAAAAACAGACATGTAGATCAGTGGCACAGAACAGAAAACCCAGAAATGGACCCACAACAACACAGTCAACTAATCTTCGACAAAGCAGAAAAGAATATCCAATGTAATAAAGACAGTCTCTTCAACAAATGGTGTTAGGAAAACTGGAGGCCAAGGTGCAGAAGAATGAAACTGGACCACTTTCTTACACAATACACAAAAGTAAATTCAAAATGGATGAAAGATCTATATGTGAGACAGGAAACCACCAAAACACAAGAGGAGAATGCAGGAAGCAACCTCTTTGACCCCAGTCAGAAAAATCTTACTAGACACGTCTCCTGAGGCAAGGGAAACAAAAGCAAAAATGAACATTGGGACTTCATCAAGATAAAAAGCTTCTGCACAGGGAAGGAAACAATCAACAAAACTAAAAGGCAGCCTACAGAATGGGAGAAGATATTTGCTAACGGCATATCTGATAAAGGGTTAGTATTCAAAATCTATAGAAAATTTATCAAACTAAACAAACAACCCAGTTAAGAAACAGGTATTAGATATAACAGACACTTTTCCAAAGAAGACATCCAGATAGCTAATAGACACATGAAAAGATACTCAACATCACTCATTACCAGGGAAATACAAATAAAACCATCATGAGATATCAAAATGGCTTAACAACACAATAAACAACAGGTGTTGGCAAGGATTTGGGGGGTGGGGCACGGGGAAGGGAGCCCCCTTGCACTCTTAGTGGGAATGCAAACTGGTATAGCCACTCTGGAGAACAGTATGGAGGTTCCTCAAGAAACTAAAAATAGAACTACGCTACAATCCAGCATTTGCACTATTAGTTATTTACCCAAAAGGATACAAAAAACATAGATTCAAAGGGGTACAATGCACCCCAGTGTTTATAGCTGCATTATCAACAGTAGCGAAGCTGTGGAAAGAGCCCAGATGTCCATCAACTGATGAATGCATAAAGAAGATGTGGTATATAGATATGTACACACACACACACACACACACACACACACACACACACACACAGTGGAATATTACTTAGCCATCAAAAAGAATGAAATCTTTCCATTTGCAAGGACATGGATAGAGCTAGAGAGTATTATGCTACGCAGAATAAGTCAGAGAAAGACAAATACCATACGATTTCATTTGTATGTGGAATTTAAGAAATAAAACAGATGAACATAGGGGAAAAAAGAAAAAAGAGAAAGACAACCTAAAAAACAGAGTTTTAACTATAGGGAGCAAACTGAGGGTCGTGGAGAGGGTTTGGGGGGACTAAGTGGGTGATGGGCATTAAGGAGTGCATTTGCTGTGATGAGCACTGGGTGTTGCATGTAAGTGATGAATCACTAGATTCTACACCTGAAACTGATATTACACAGTATACTAATTGACCGTAATTTAAATAAAAACATGAAAAAAAATTCCATGCCCCATCACTGCTGCCTCTGTGACAACACAGTATCTCCTTAACAACATGCTTTTCAATCATACCATATCATTTGTCCTTTTGAATATTTTCTTCATCCTAATCTCTGAGTTCCTTAGAGGTTCAAAAGATATTGATCAAACCAATCAATCAATTACTACCAAAACTCAGCAATAACATGCTTAGAGAATAAGTTTTCATTTCACTTACTATTGTAAAAACTAGATATTTTGAGTGTTTACTATGAACAGTTTGCCATATCCTTTTCACAAACACTGTCTCATTTAATCCTCATAACACTCCTCTGAGAAGTTATCACAGCTCTTATTTACAGAGGAGGAAACTTGGCCAGAGAGCTGTGGTCTTCCGGGATTTGTTCACGCACGGTAGGTGAAAGCATAAATTCGTGCTATCACCAACTTTCTGTGAGACCTAGACAAATTACTTAACCTCTCCCCTCTCAGCCTCAATTTCAAAAGCTATACAATGAGCCTAAGAGTCCCTGCAGAAGAGAGTTGAGAAGATAAAATGAAACAATGTATGCCAGGTGCCAAATGTGGTCTCTACCACATGGCAATCTCTCAACCCAAAGGCAAAACCATTATTTGCCTCTGACCAAAACACACAAAACAATAGATGTTATTTTATAAAAAGCAGCCATAGGCCAAATAGTCATAGCTCCATATTTTATGTTCTATTTTACACTATAAAACTGGACTTGATAAAATATTAGATTGGTCCATAACAAAACAATAGCTTATCACTAATATATCACCTACAAAATTAAAATTAGAAAAAAAAATTGGGGGCTTTTCAATCCAAAACTACCATCAACCTAAAAAGAAGATCATCAATGGGGTGAAATGTATTAAACAAAGTAGAAATCATCCATTAAATCTTCAGCGTCTCAAAAATAACTTCAAATAATTTTAAAGCAATATATAAAATAATTTGTATGTTGAGTATTATATTCACTGGTAATCAAGCATTTTTGCAATCCGAAGACACACTAATAAAATCTGGGGCATTGTAACATAATCTGACACAAATCAGACAGTAATTCATTGTATTTATTATATTATGCAAATGAGGAACTATATTATTTACAAAGCACCAGCATATGGGGATGTAACACACCCTTAGACATTAAGAACAACCAAGTAAGAGGGATTTCAGAGAAGACCCCGAGGCCCCATCAGGAAGTGGGTGAGTGAAATGTCTGACCCTGAACCCAGATCTTCAGTCTGCAAGTCCAAGGTATTCCTGACCTAGTTCAAGTTCCTTCCACACAGTTGCCATATCATAATAAAATGTCAGAAATGAGAGGAATAAAGATATTTTTCATACATATCACATCTGAGTAGAAATGTGAGACTTTACAGGTAGCCTAAAAATACAGTAAGAGACAACATTCTAAAAATATAGAACATCACTGGGGCGCCTGGTGCCCAGTGTTGGCTAACCATCTGCCTCTTGATTTCAGCTCAGGTCATAATCCCAGCATTGTGGGATCAAACCTGCATTGGGTTCCTCAACACTGAGCATGGAGCCTGCTTAGGATTCTCTCTCTTTCTCTCCCCCTGTCTCTCTCTGTCACTCATGCTCTCTCTCTCTCTCTCTCTCTCTCTTAAATATATATAGAACATCACAGCGGAGGTCTTAAATGTCACTACAACTCGTATCGTGATATCAGATAATAGAGGAATTTTGAACTCATCTAACTGTATCTTAAAAGGCTCTGCCAAAATATCTTTACCCCTGTGCCCTTGAGTTATCACCGCTACATCACCTTGGCCGCCGGTCCTTCACTTCCGCAAAGATCACACTCCAGCGCTGGTTTAAACCTGCCAGCTTGTCTTTCAAGAAGCTTCCATCTGTGGGGGAGAGTTTCTGTACAATCCCATCCCCAGTTCTGTTTAGGGCTGCAAAACTGGGCTGGTGGCTGCTGATTCCCTCTTCGAGTTCCTGTAACAGAGTATAACTCAAGATTAACTCCACAACTGAACTATGCAGTGAATCCACAAAGGTACTATGGCATCAGTTTAAGTGTTAAGAAAAACAAAGTCCTGGAAGAATATTTTATGTTCATGAAAAAGGCGTTTTAAAACACTTTACTTACATCTCAATGAACACGCGAAATGAAATCAATTTTGAAATCTAACCCATTCTCATGAGTGCCATCAAGCAAAATATACTGAAAGAGGATAGCCTAATAACATAAAATAAGCAACAGCTGTTTACACTGAAAGCACAAGCATCAGAAATCTGTTGCATTTCTATACACCAATAATGAATTATGTTTGAGTAAAGTAGATGGTTTGTCTTCCTTCAAATATGTGCTTGAAAGCATTTCTAAATACAATGTGTGTGTGTGTGTGTGTGTGTGTGTGTGTGTGTGTGTGTGTGTGTATACCTCCACATACCCTTATGTCCTACCATACGCAAGTAAATGTCAATGTGTATTTCATTGAGACTGCTTCACGAGTCGGTAAATTTTTAAGCAATTAAAAAAGGATATTTTAAAGTCAAATGTGAGCACTTATCTATAACCCATAAAATAAGAAAAATGCATTAACATGTTTATGAAAGAAAAAGCATTTTCTAACTTCTCATGAGCCTTCTACATAAAGTATATTTTAAAGATTTAATAAAAGAATGTATTTTAACAATGGTAAACTGAAATTCTGCTTGCTTTTGACTATTATTTTTAAAGACCTGTTATCAACAGAACTGATTTAACTATTGTGTTATATTTCCCAAGACTGCATTCGACTCACATGAGCAGCAGCCCTGACACAGCTCAAGAATAATTTACTTGTACGAAAATTATCAACGATACAAAGAAAAATAAGATGTCTAGTGTTTAAGCACAGATAACAGAGGTGACGTATGCAGATATCTTTCTGTCCTTGATAAAGCCTTACGTACAAAATTAACAAATGTTTTGAATATAAAATTTTAATAAAATTGTGTTTTACATTAACCACTAAAGAGCATCTTTTATTTAAATTTTTAAAGTCCTAATTAAAGACTGTAAATACCAATTTTTCTTAGACCTTTGAAAATGGAAAGTAGAACTGGGACAAAAATTACAGGTTGACTATGTACTCCTGAAAAGTTAACATGATTTGCCCTGACTTTCCAAATCAGTCTTAAATGTCCCATACTGAAAAAAATATGCCACCTTCTGAGCAGACCCGTATCCTCGGATGGAAAGCACTCACCTGCTGGTGCATCCTGGCTTTCTCCAAGTCCAGGCCACCATCGGGAGCAAAGGTTTCAGCCAGTAACTCTTCAGCCTCTGTTAGCCACTGTGTGAGGTCATTAAGGTCACAGTGGAACTGTCTCCATTCTTCCATAGACCTATCAAAATAACTAGAGGACGAGAAACAAAATAGGTTTTCAAACTTTCCAGGACTGTCTAGAAATAATTTTTCTTTTTTTTTTTTAATTTTTTTTAATTTAATGTTTTTATTTATTTTTGTGACAGAGAGAGACAGAGCATGAGCAGGGAAGGGGCAGAGAGAGAGGGAGACACAGATCAGAAGCAGGCTCCAGGCTCTGAGCTGTCAGCACAGAGCCCGATGCGGGGCTCGAACCCACAGACTGTGAGATCATGACCTGAGCCGAAGTCAGATGCTTAACCGACTGAGCCACTCAGGTGCCCCTAGAAATAATTTTTCTAAAGAGGCAATTGAAATCTCATTTAAATTGAAAGTCTCACAACAAGTGAATTCACAGCTCACCACTCCCATAAGATCAGTTTTCACAAAGGACTACAGTTAAAGATTTCTCTTAGAGAAACATGCACCATACCAAGGGCAATCCTGCCCCTCTCTCTCTTAACATGTATGCACACATGCACACACACTAGGCAGCTTTTCAACTGAAAAGACAGACTGCTCCAGCTTGGAAAATCAAGGTTGATTAGCTGTAGCCATGCTAACCTACCCAACTTTAAACACTTAACATGTTAAATACCATGAAGTGTAAAATATGACGAATCACTCTATTCTCTTAGGAAAAAAATATGTTTTACTCCCAGAACACTCAGTTCCTAGCTAGAACAAAACCCAAAAGGCCAAAACACTTCAAAATTTCCTTGCACTCCATTATCACTATGTTATAGACTGCTTGTGTCCCCCCAAATTCATATGCTGAAGTTCTAGTTCCACAACATGACTATATTTGGAGAAAGAGGGCCCTTAAGGAGGTAATTAAGGTTAAATGAGGTCATAAGAGCGGAGCTCTAATCCCGTTAAGACTGGTGTCCTAATAGGAAGAGAAATAAGCACCAGAGATTGATCTTTCTCTCCTCTCTCTCTCTCTCCCTCACTCTTTCTCTCTCTCATTTTGCAACAACACAAAGGAAAGGCCTTGGAAGGACACAGTGAGAAGCTGACCATCCACAAGCCAGGAAGAGAGGCCTCATTAAACGCTAACCCTGCTGGCACCTTGACCTTATACTTTCTGTCTCCAGAACTGAGAGAAATGTGTTTGTTGTTTAAGGCACCCCGTCTGTGGTATCTTATGATGGCAGCCCTAGCCAACTAATACACTCTGGGCAATGACTACTCTGGAGCGTCCCCTTCATTTGAACAGAATGGAAGTGTCTACAAAGCCCAGGTTAGTCAATGAGACACAGGGCTATCGAAATTCCTATTTAAACCTAACTTCTGGGGCACCTGGGTGGCTTGGTTGAGCGTCCAACTCCTGATTTTGGCTCAGGTCACGATCTCAGGATCGAGTCCCCAGTTGGGCTCTGCACTGAGCATGGAATCTGCTTGAGATTCTCTCTCTCTCTCTCTCTCTCTCTCTCTCTCTCTCTCTCTCTCACCCCCCTGCCTCTCCCCCTCTGCTCACCCTATAAAATAATAAATAAGCAAATAGCTTCTTTAAAAGCAAGATAAAGTCACACTCCACTGCTTGTCATATTTGGAACACATAAAATAAGTACAAAAAGGAAAGCTTTGTTGGATTAGGATCCTAAATTTCCTTGTGCCTTTTTTTTTAGAGTAGTGGTGCTAGGAGAGATTTAGATGATATCCCTAAGATTTTAACAATATTAATAAAATTTTTATTTCGTGTAATAAAAAACTAATATTATTTTCAAAAAATAATAAAATGGTCCCTGGCATCACTAACTCCTAAATAAAGTTTATATTTTCTTTTTCCACGAAAATCATTTTGAAAACTCAGTTAATATCTGTTGAGTGCCCACAGGGAAGGAACATTCTATTAGGCACTACAAAAATAAGAACACTTCAAACAAACACTGTGAGAAGATACAGAGACAATCTTCACTACTTTTCACAAAACTATACAAAAACTAAATAACCAACATAGAATTCCAACTTTTCAGATGCTGCAATAACGAACAGAAAACATTGCTAAAAAGTCTTCCTCAAAGATCTGAACACCTGGAGTATATAAACATTACATTTGGTAAAGATCATTATCACTGCAAAAAGAACATAACTTGAAAATAAATCTAAGCAACATAGCTATGGATTAAATAAGAAAAAGTCAAAAGAAAGGGAGATGCATGCTTGGGAAGGTCTTGCAAAGCCATCACCTCTGCTCTAACCCAGCCAGCTCAGATGGAAGACAGCACAGTATTGTGAAAGGCTGTCAACTTCCAGAGAATCATACTCGAAGTTCCAGCCTTAATGCATGCTTGGTTTAGATCTGAACTATAAACATATGAGTTTGCTAATCTCTAATATTTCAATGGCCTTGCCAACTTCCCCCAAAAGTCATCTCACCACCAATGTACCCTGTCTCTGCTAATGGTACCACCACCTACCTTAGGTCCTCAAGCCAAAGACTTGAGGCTCATTTTTTACTCCTCCCTCCTCCTACTCCAACATCCCACCAATCGCTACATTTTACTGACTCAACTATTTAATTCTCAAATTTTCCTTTAGTTTCCACTTCCATAGCTACTATCCTAATCAAGTTATCATCCTGTGACCAGCATAGATAGGTCTTCTAGCGCTCAGTCTTGTCCTCTACCAATGCATTCTGCAATCAGCAAACTGTCATTCCCTTGTTAAAATACTGCAATGGCTCCCTATTGTTCTCACAGTAAAATACAAACTACAGCTGACCCTTGAACAACACGGCTGAACTACACAGGTCCACATACACATGGACTTTTCCTATAAATACTGAAATGTGTTTTCTCTTCCCTATAATTTTAATAACATTTTCTTTTTCCTAGCTTACTTTATTATACAAATACAGTATATAATACATTAAACATACAAAATACATGCTAATAGACCATGTTATCGGTAAGGCTTTTGTCAACAGTAAGCATGTTATCATTAAGGCTCTGCCCAACAGTAAGGATCAGTAGTTAAGTTTTGGGGGAGTCAAAAGTTATATACAGATTTTCAGCTACATGAAGGGGGGGGGGTCAGTGCTCCTACCTCCATATTGCTCAAGGGTCAACTGTACTTAACATGATACCCAAGGTCCTTCTAATATAGTCCCTTTTGGACTTTTTGGTTTCATCTCTCTGAGTTCTAACTCTGCTGGACTATTTCCATATCCTTAACAGCACAGCACTCTCTCTTTTTATCTATGACAGTTGCAATGTTGTGTTCCCTCTATTCCTTCACCTAGGTAACCTCACAATCTCCAAGAAGACTTCCCAGATCCTTCAGGGTGCCGAGCAAGGCCTCTTGTATTGTCCCCATCACAGCACTATGCACTACTTAACAAGTGTTTGTCTATAGTTTTCTACTATATACATTTGGACCCCAGGAAAGAGACTATATATATTTAGTACATCTGCCTTATAATCTTTTATAACTACTTACACATAGCTGCATGTACCTTGAATTAGTCAACACTCAATAAAGATTGGTCAAACAGATGGTGCATGGATAGATGGATAGACAAGCACATAAAGGTAGGTGACTGGGTGAAGTCATAAAATTGAATTTCAAAAACTTTTTAGACAATAGAAAAAGAATGATAAAATTAAGAAGGAAAACTGTTCCTTGTAGAAGATGGAATTCTGAGTAAGAATTAGAAACTAGGAAGGAAAAGAAAACAAAGTAAATTTTAATCTAGTTTGTGTGAAATGAATGAAGGAACCTTTTTTGAGCAACATAGACAGGGTATAAAAAAATTAGGCCATCTGGATAACACTGTTAAAAACCTTCTAAATTCGGGGCGCCTGGGTGGCACAGTCGGTTAAGCGTCCGACTTCAGCCAGGTCACGATCTCGCGGTCCGGGAGTTCGAGCCCCGCGTCAGGCTCTGGGCTGATGGCTCAGAGCCTGGAGCCTGTTTCCGATTCTGTGTCTCCCTCTCTCTCTGCCCCTCCCCCGTTCATGCTCTGTCTCTTACTGTCCCAAAAATAAATAAACGTTGAAAAAAAAAAAAAATTAAAAAAAAAAACAAAAAAAAAACCTTCTAAATTCAAGACGAAAGGTCTGAACTTTGTCCTTATACCAGTGAAAGCCACCAAAGGAAATACAGAGGATGAGTACCTGAGAAGACATTCTTAAGAGAGAAGATAACTTAAGGACCCAAAGATCCAAGACGAGAAGGAAGAAATAACTGGTTGACATAAAGGGAAGAAATTCTTCCAGGAAAAGGGAGCTCCATTATTTGTCTACGATGGTTGTAAAATTACTTATTTGGAAAAATATGAAACTAATACCATGCACCAGTGTAAAGTAGGCATAAGGGAGTTCTCAAAGTAAGATGGTATATTTTCATGGTTTTTCTCTCACTTTTACTATAGGCCAACAAAATTTGAAAAGTTTGTGGAGTTTTTCCCATAGATTAGTTTTATCTCTATTTTTGTTTAAGCTATTTAAATTTAGTTAGTTAACATATAGTATAATAAATCAGAGAAAGACAAATAACATATGATTCCACTCATACATGAAATTAAAGAAACAAAACAGATAAACATAGGGGAAAGAAAAAAAGAGAGACAGAGGCAAACCATAAAATAGACTCATAAAATAGACTCAAACTACTGAGGGTTGCGGGGGGTGTCGGGGGGAGTTGGGCAGGGGGATGGGCTAAATAGGTGATTGGTATTGATGAGGGCACTTGTTGTGATGAGCACCAGTTGTTTATGTAAGTGATGAATCACTCAATTCTACTCCTGAAAAAGTTTGAAAGTTTTATAGACCAAATGGCACAGGGAGCTGATATAGATTAATGGACTTGGTGGTCACCCTCATGTGATTATAACTGATAACTGAAACCATGAAAAGTACAGGATGTTTGCCATTGTCTTGATAGTTTACAAAAAAAATAGAATAGAAAGAAATTCTCACTTAGTGCTTGTGAAAGGTGGATAAATGCGGATAGAGAAAAATAAACATTTAGGATAGATGACCAAAG